TGCAAATAAATTAATTAATCTTCAAACAAACAAAACCGGGTATGGACCAGATTAGGCCTGCAGGACAGAATATAAACCCAAACATATTAAACATGACAAAGCAGGATATTTCTTAATGCTAAAACCTAAATTCACAATAAAAAGTATGACAGTTATACATAATTATACAACAAAGAACAAAACATGTCAAGCACACAACTATCAACAAGCCCTTGTTGGATTCAGGCAGGTTGTTATTTACATAAATGGTAAAAGAGAAAAAGTAGTCAAATGGGCCAGTTCCTACATCCCTTACACAGCATGGCATTGAAATAAAAGGGGCCAGATGGCTTCAACACAGATAACTGAGTATCCTGTTTCGGAGGAGGCAGTGCCATGCTGCAGCAAACTAGCATTGTGGCCTGCAGGTACACTGAAGCTTCACAGCGCATCAGAACCTGGAAGGTGATATGAAACAGTTCATGACAACTGCCTTGGTGGTTAAGGAAGCAAGTGAGAGATGGCCTTGTAGCAGCACCTCACATCCCTCGCCTACCTTCATGTTCAGGACCACAAGGAATTCTGCCAGGATTTACATCAGCTATGGTTCAGGTGCCAGCATGGCCTATGTGGATATGTGCAAGATCGTGGGTGCTGGCTACAGAGTTGTTCCCCTCTGAAGCAAAAAATTAATCAAAAAACAAAAATGACAGGTGCTGCAAGAAAATAGAATCTGTGGGATGCATCTAAAGCAATGATCAAAATAAAATTCACAGCACTAAATATTTTTATGAATAAAAATCTTAGAAAAAAATAGAAAAAAGAACAAAATAAGCCAAAAGAAAGTACAAAGAAGGAAATGTTAAAAGCAAAAACTAATGTGGTGAATAGAGAAACTATAAATAGATCTAACAAATGAAAATCTTATTAAAAATTAGCAAAATCTATTAATTTAATCATTAAATAAAGAGCACAAATGTACAAAGAAATTACAACGTAGAAATAACCATTGAAGTAGAGGAAATTTAAAAAATCATGAGACCTCTTTGCACATCACTCTGCAAAAACATTTGGAAACTTAGATGATTAGATGATTTCCTACGAAATTTCCTAGGAAAATATACATAACCCAAATTGACTCTTTGGTTTTAAATGCTTAAATGGACCAGTTTTCATAGATGAGATATTCCAGAGCATTGAAATAAAGGAAAACTCTAGTTCATTTTATGAGATCGGTATAACACTGAGAGACCTAAATGCTGGTATGTCATAACACTGATACCTTGAAGATGGTACATTAGTGCCCCCTTATCTCTGGCTTCAATTACCTGTAATCAACTATGGTCTGAAAATACTACATGGAAAGTTCCAGAAATAATTCATAAGTTTTCAGTTGTGCGATATTGTGAGCAGCATAATGAAATCTTGTACCATTCCTCTACATCCCACTTAGGAGATTAGTCATCCCATAGTCCATCATATCCATGCTATGTATGTTACCTGTCTTTTAGCTGCTTAGTAGCTGTCCTGGTTATCAGATCAATTCTTGTGATATCTCAGAGGTTGTGTTCAAGTAACCCTTATTTTATTTAACAGTGGCCCCAAAGCACAAGAGTAGTGATGCTGGCAAATTTATTACAGTGTATTGTTAGTAGTTGCTCTATTTTATTGTTGGTTTTTGTTAATCTCTTATTGTGCCCATTTTATAAATTTAACCATCATTGGTATATATATATTGCTAAAAATGTAATATATATAGGATTCAGTACTATCTTCAATTTTGAGCATCCACAAGGCATCTTTTTTTTTTTTAAGATTTATTTATTTGAAAGAGTTACAGAGAGGCAGAGAGAGAGAGATCTTCCATCTGCTGGTTCACTCCCCAAATGGCCACAATGGCTGGAGCTGGGCTGATCCAAAGCCAGGAGTCAGGAGCCAGGACCTTCTTCTGGGTCTCCCACATGGGTACAGGGGCCCAAGGACCTGGGTCATCTTCCACTGGTTTCTCAGGCCATAGCAGAGAGCTGGATAGGCAATGGAGCATCCAGGTCTCAAACTGGCACCCATATGGGATGCCAACACTGCAAGTAGTGGCTTTACCTTATATGCCACAGCGCTGACCCCGACAAGGCATCTTTGAACATGTCCCCCTTCAGATGAAGAGGGGCTGCTGTACAAAGAATACCACAGACCAATATCACAAGAAAATACACCATGCCCAAGGAGGATTTATTCCAGGAATGTAAGGTTACCCAATATTAGAGTATTTTAAAACATCATACACCATACTAAAAATTGAAAGGGAAAAATTATTTATCTCCACTGATGCTGAAAAAGCCTTTAATAATTTGAATGTTCACAGAAGAAAATAGGAACTAAGAGATACTTTCTTAACATGATCAAATACACAGACAACATGAGGATAATTCAAAAGTTCATGGAAAAATAAGTTTTATTTTGGTGCAAAATATATTCTCCCACGATGGTGGGAGAAGGGAGAACAGTAGAAGTTCAGAAGGAGTTGGAAGATCATAGAAAAATCACTAACCAGCCTCTGACCCAGAGGAATCTGGGAAGTTGGGCTGGTGCAGCAGCCAGGGCGGGTGTACAGAGGAAGCTGGTGAAACTCCAGGGCGAGCTGCCACGCCTGGTGAGAGGTCTGCTCTGCTTCAGGGCAGGTGCACTGACAATAAGGAAAAAGAGTTGGATGCAGAGCAGGGTAAGGATGAATGGAACTTCCCCACACTTCTGCATTTGTCACCACATTCAATTGCCTTAATCATCACAAAGTAATGGCTACTGATTGACTTCTCACTCTTCAAATATCACACAAATTCCGTGGCCAACCCAAACATGGAAACACAGAGAAGCAAGGAGCCACATGGGGAAAGGGATTCTGGAGTACATCCATTCCACCTTCACCAGATTGCCACGGTTCAGGCCACAGAGGGCATGATGGCTAGGAATGCTAAGGTAGCCCAGAGGAAGTAGCAATATTTTGTTTACTGATTTGGGTGGCGATTTCATGGTTTGGTTGTATTCACTTGGAAATAATTAACCACTATGCTAATCATTTGGACCCTTTTCCCTAAGTATATTTTCACAAAGAGACACTGTAAAAGTTAATAAAATAATCTGACACTGCCTGAGAAATAAACAGATTCAATGGAACAAAGTAGGATGTCCAAAAATAGTCACCACTGGCAATTGGTTTGTGGTAATGACATTGTAAATAAAGTTAACAAAACCTTCTCTCCTTTTCCATGAGGGAAAGCCCTTGGGTTTACCACCTCTCCCAGCATTATTTGCCTGGAAACCAAATAGATTGACTATCAACTGTTTTTTCAGGCCAGGTTTCTTACAGTAAAAATGACCCCTGGTGAGTAAACCGCACGTGGACAGGGAGGACTGGGAATGGACGTGAGGCCTGGTGGGAAGCAGGGGCTCCAGGCTTCCCTCTGCGGGCTGACTCTTGTAACGGAGTGCATCCGCCCTTGCAGGGCCCTGGAAGTGATGTTCATGGGCTCCTGGATAAGCAGTGTTGGTTCCTGTGTGGTCTTGTTCCTTACACCTGTGCTGTCACTTATGAGCTGAAACTGACTCCTGCAAGCAGGCATCCTGGCCGATGACCTATCTGAAGCTCTTCTGCTGGCTACTGTAATTTCTGTCCCAAATCTACCTGTAGACTGAGGCTGATGCTAGGTGTGACCTAGTGGTCTTGTGAGCGTCCCACCCACTGAGCAGAGTAGACATTGATGATGGCATTGCCACAGTGGAGAGAGATTATTCAGGAAAGGCCACTGAGACAACAAGCGAATCAGTCAGCCTTTAGAGATGCAACAGTGGGTTTCCACCTCACCTCCGCCATACTCGGACAAGGGGTCTTCAAAAAGTTCATGGAAAATGTGTAATATGAGAAAATTCTGCATGGATTAAGTGGTTTCTTGCACCAAAATAAATGCTTAACTCCATTTTTCATGAATTTTTTGAAGTAGCCTCACATAGAAGTCCTTGGCTTGTCCTGGCAGAAGCAAGTGAGAAGACTTCGACTTTGTGATGAGACTAAGATCATTTTTATGTAACATAAAGCTAAACACCTGCTAGAGAGCCCGTAGTCAGTCAAGCCTATAGGCTGTATTCCGCTGTATTTCTAATCCTTACAACATCTCAAAGGATCCTTCAGAGCCCACCTCTGAGAAGTGCAGACCCCCTTCTGTGCACACCTCTTCCTCCCCCAGCGCTCGCGTTCTGCCTCAGAACCTGGTGGCATGCTGCACTGGCTGCCTCGGGTCTCCCTGCTCCCTACTGCTATCCGTCCAGGTGAAGGTGCTTTCTGCTAGATCCTCCTACGAATTCACTTGATTTTTCCAGGATCTTCCTGTCCTTCCTAAACACAGTCCTACTTATTTGAAGTTTCATGTTGGCCATAAAGGGAAAAAATGGATAAATTTGATTATACAAAATGTAAAATGAGTTTTACAAAAGACAAAGTAAGAAGACTAGTGGCAAAGGCTTAATACTATATTAAAAGTGCCTACAATTCAGTAAGAAACATAGGACGCAATTTTTTAAAAGTAAGCAAAGAATACAACAAAAGCAGTTCAGAGAAGAAAAAACATCAAGAAGGTTTGTAAATAAATGAAAAGACTTCAGTCCTACCAGCATGCAGATGAAACAACTATTTTTCACTTATCAACTGGGTGAAAATACCAAGTTTTAAGCAGCCATGGGGATACTAGTATCCTCACACATCTGGTACAGCCATTTGGGAGTGCAATGCAGCAATATGTATTAAAATGCATGTACCTACAATCCAGTAATTCTATATGTACTGTTCTTTCTTCCTTTCTTGAAAAGACGTAGACTCAGTTCCTATAAATCCTATGCATCCTTGAGGGAAAACTTCAGGCCTGTCCACACGAATCATCTGCAAGACACAAACCTTTATATTGTTAGTAACTAACCAACACTCGCAACAGAACTTTGTGTGTTAACGTGTCACTGTGTCTCTTTTTTCTCAGGCTTACCAAAGTGATCCTCTAGAAAATGAGTGGGTATGGGAAGAGAAGCGAAGAGATTAAAGAGGGGAAAAAACTTACTCTGTCATTTAACACTGATGAATTCATCAGGATATTTTTAGGCTTGGATAATCTTCGGGAAATACAAAGTCAATGTAAATGGTTCATCACCCATTCCAAAGCTGGCTTTAATCTGCGACTTGAAGGTAATGCTTTCCAACCTTGTTCATGTCACGGCACAGGGATAAAACAGCACCATTTGTGGAGCACAGTGGAATCAATGACACAGGCCACTTTGGGATTTGCTGACCTCCAAGGGCCTGACAGGTAGACCAGCTGTTCCCAGCCCACGGCCGTTGAGCACCGGGGAAATCCGTGTAGATCATACCCCCTCTGGTGGTCAGATTCACATCCTTCCTCTTCTCCTCTGCTCAGATGACTAGTCCTGAAATGGAGTAAAAATGCAGTTTCAGTGCTTCAGCCACAACACAGAGGTACCAAGCATCTCTGTCCAAACGAGAAAGAGCAAGAACTAATGATGTAAAGCATGCTGTTAGAAAATACTTGTTTCAGCTCTCTGAAGGTATGTTTAAATAAGAAACATTAATTGTGTTGCGTGCAAGCCCGTCTGAAATAGAGTCTAGATCAACACTGACCAGCGTTAGGAAAAGGAAACGCGACGGATGACCCTAGAATTGGCTGCAGCGGCATTGGCTTCCCCCGGTCTTTGTTTGTGCACTGCAGATCACTGAACCACAGGTACCCATTTCTTGGCTTGCTCTTCCCTCTCTACACTTGCTTGAACCCCCTTCTCTGGACATGGTCGCCTCATTGTCTTTACTAAAATACCACGTAGTCCTGCTGATTCCCATTCTAACATTAATCAGCTTGCTTAGCTTGAGTCTGCAAACAGGGTGAGTCTGAAGTTGATCATTAGTGTGGTAACTAGATTTTTCCTGTGCGATATGGTTACCTGGATAGCTGCTAGACATTTTTTGGTCTTGGCTGAAAAACTGGGTGGTAAGAACGGTGTCAGGGCTGCAGCTTCTCTCCACGCAGGTGGGGAGCAGTAACAGGGAACGGGATGTTTTAGACGCTTTCTCAAACAGGGAGGGAATATGGAAATCTTTTCCATCCCTACAAATAAACAAAAATAGACTTAATGTTTTTCAAAGATACTAGAAGTTCCCAAAGTGTATGAAAACAATGGAGTTATAAAATACAGTTTTAAATTCATAGAAATGCTGCCATCTAGCGCATACAAAATCGTTGCAGGAGTTATGTTCTTCCCCCTAGAACTACTTATAATCCAGTAATCACACATCTTTTTTTTTTTAATTTTTTATTTTTTTTTATATTTATTTAATGAATATAAGTTTCCAAAGTACGAATAATGGATTACAATGGCTTCCCCCCCATACCTTCCCTCCCACCCACAACCCTCCCTTTTCCCGCTCCCTCTCCCCTTCCATTCACATCAAGATTCATTTTCGATTATCTTAATATACAGAAGATCAGCTTAGTATACATTAAGTAAGGATTTCAACAGTTTGCTCCCACACAGAAACATAAAGTGAAAAATAATAGATGATTTTTTTTTAATGATGATGAAATCAGATCAGACCTATTGTCATGTTTAATCCCAGTGAGAGTCAAGTTGAGAGTTGATAGTTTCTTTTCTTTTCTTTTTTTTTTTTACAGAAGATCAGTTTAGTATGCATTAAGTAAAGATTTCAACAGTTTGCACCCCCATAGAAACACAAAGTGAAATATATTGTTTGAGTACTCGTTATAGCATTAAATCTCAATGCACAGCACATTAAGGACAGAGATCCTACATGAGGAGTAAGTGCACAGTGACTCCTGTTGTTGACTTTACCAATTGACACTCCTGTCTATGGCATCAGTAATCTCCCTATGCTCCAGTCATGAGTTTCCAAGGCTATGGAAGCCCTCTGAGTTCTCCGATTCTTATCTTGTTTAGACAAGGTCATAGTCAAAGTGGAGGTTCTCTCCTCCCTTCAGAGAAAGGTACCTCCTTCTTTGAAGACCTGTTCTTTCCACTGAGATCTCACTCACAGAGATCTTTTGCCAGAGTGTCTTGGCTTTCCATGCCTGAAATACTCTCATGGGCTTTTCAGCCAGATCCGAATGCCTTTAGGGCTGATTCTGAGGCCAGAGTGCTATTTAGGACATCTGCCATTCTATGAGTCTGCTGAGTATCTCACTTCCCATGTTGGATCACTCTCCCCTTTATTTATTCTATCGGTTAGTGTTAGCAGGTACTAGACTTGCTTATGTGCTCCCTTTGACTCTTAGTCCTTTCATTATGATCAATTGTGAACTGAAATTGATCACTTGGACTAGTGAGATGGCATTGGTACATGCCACCTTGATGGGATTAAATTGGAGTAATGATCATTTGTGAGACATGGTAGCTGCCACAGAGGATTTATGATTTTGCTTATTTTGTAAACCTAATTTTCTCATCTGAAATGGTCTCATCTCTTCAGTTTTCCATTTTGTCTTTTTAAATTCTATTTTCCCCCTCCTTTATTAATTTGGCGGTTACTTTTTTTTTAATCTCAGAAAGTTCTCATTCTTTTAATTCAGTCCTGTTTATAGCATCCTTATTTCACGTGTACAACATTTTCTCATGTGGAGGGATTACCTGCACTTTTTTTTTTCTTTGGACAGGCAGAGTGGACAGTGAGAGAGAAAGACAGAGAGAAAGGTCTTCCTTTGCCGTTGGTTCACCCCCCAATGGCCGCCGCGGCTGGCGCGCTGCGGCCGGCGCACTGCGCTGATCCGATGGCAGGAGCCAGGTACTTATCCTGGTCTCCCATGGGGTGCAGGACCCAAGCACTTGGGCCATCCTCCACTGCACTCCCTGGCCACAGCAGAGAGCTGGCCTGGAAGAGGGGCAGCCGGGACAGAATCCGGCGCCCCGACCAGGACTAGAACCCGGTGTGCCGGCGCCGCTAGGCGGAGGATTAGCCTAGTGAGCTGCGGCGCTGGCCCCTGCACTTTGTTTTTAAGATTTATTTATTTCAAAGGCAGAGTTACGGGGTGGGGGCTGGATAGAGATACTCCATCCACTCCCCAGTGACCGCGACTGCCAGGGCTGGGCCAGGCCCAAGGCAGGAGCCAGCAACATCATCCCAGTCTCCCACATGGGTGGCAGAGGCCCAAGTACCTGGACCATTTTCTGCTGCTTTCCCAGGCACATTAAGCAGGGAGCAGGACTGGAAGTGGAGCATCCAGCGCTCATATGAGGTGCTGGTATCACAGGCAGCTTAACCCACTGTGCTACAACGCTGGCCACCATGTTGTTGTTCTACTTCCTACATTTGTTCTCTGTCCTTAAATCCCCATCTCCACCCCTGTTTGCTTGTATGGCTCTCTTGCATTTAGGAGGTTTTGCTCAAATATCTGACTCTGAGCTGGCCTGCATACTAACAGCAAGGTGCCAACCAGCTGGTTGGGCTCTGGGCTTTGGAGCTTCCTTGGCCAGGATGGGCTATATCCTTAGGAACCCCCAACTGCCAGTATCTGTAGGAACTTTTTGGAGGCAGGATTTTCTCTCCTGCTTAGGGGATATGCATGTAATACCGCTTTTCTGGGAGTTAAATAGGGGGGAGCTGGGCAACTCACTGTCCACTGTGTAGCCTTTCACCCAAGCCTCTGCATTCATGACAACCTGGCCTTCATCTGTGCCTAAAGTTCCTGAATCCACATCCTGACTGGACAGCCTAGGAGATAAATTACCAGGTTCCATAGGCAGTGGAGCAGGAGAAGCAGGTGAACCTGCAGGGTCTGCCTCTGCCCGTGTCTAACCTCTGCCTCATCTGTTTTGGTGGGCACCTGATCCCTCTGATGCACAAGCTTTAGGCCGTAACTCACCTCGCTCCTGGCTACCTCCCCCCCACCTCTTCCAGGGACGGGGCTTTCTTTCTTCTCATAGTCACCGACTAACCGTTGTCTTTCTGGTTTCTAAAATTGCTTTGTCACCTGCCTGTTATCTCCTTTCCTATTCTCTTTGGCCTTGAGTTTGTACTGTTGTTTCATATGTTTTAATTTTGGGGGTTTGGGTCTTTAAAACCTCTCTTGTGGCTCTTTAGAACAGGATTGTGGTTAGTTAACGGACTTCAGCTGTTAGTAACTTCAAGGTATACATACCTCTGCTTCTGAGCCAAGGTCATGCTCTTGTCACGGAGGCCCCCAGCTAATGACTAAAGATGCAGAACAGAAGGACCTAGCAGCCAGCACTGTGGCTCAATAGGCTGATCCTCCACCTGCGGCGCCGGCACACCGGGTTCTAGTCCCGGTCAGGGCGCCGGATTCTGTCCCGGTTGCCCCTCTTCCAGGCCAGCTCTCTGCTGTGGCCAGGGAGTGCAGTGGAGGATGGCCCAAGTCCTTGGGCCCTGCACCCACATGGGAGACCAGGAGAAGCACCTGGCTCCTGCCTTTGGATCAGCGCGGTGCGCTGGCCACAGTGTCCATTGAGGGGTGAACCAACGGAAGGAAGACCTTTCTCTCTGTCTCTCTCACTGTCCACTCTGCCTGTCAAAAAAAAATTTAAAAAGGACCTAGCCTCACCCACTGTAATGGGATTCCTCTGACAGACAGTCTGCTCTAGGGCTCTGTCGGACTGCAGAGACTAAGTCCAGTCTGATGGTTCCACCTGCCCCAAGCCTGTTCCTGCCTTTCACTTTGACAAGAGTTACTCGCCAATGTGCCCTTTGTATTCCTCAAAACCTGCTTCCTGGAGAATTCAACCAGCATATTAGCTTAAAAAAGAATACTGGAGGGAAGTGGAACTTTTAAGCGATTTATTTTTCTATTTGTTTTATTTGAGATGTAGAGTTATAGAAAGAGGGAGAGACAGAAAGGTCTTCCATCCGCTGGTTCACTCCCCAAATGGCCACAACAACTGGAGCTGGGCGGATCCGAAGCCAGGAGCCAGGAACTTCTTTTGGGTCCCCCACGTGGGTGCAGGGGCCCAAGCACTTGGGCTGTCTTCTACTGCTTTCCCAGGACTTAGTAGAGAGCTGGATCAGAAGAGCAGCCAGGGCACAAACTGCGCCCATATGGGATGCTGGCACCACAAGTGTAACCTGCTAGGCCACAGCGCTGGCCCCAGGGAAATGGAATTTACTTATGAGAATCAGATAATTCATTTGTGAAGCAAAGTTCCCCAGGAACCTCAGCAGCAGGGCTCTGCCAGCCTTTTCCTTAAGTTACTAGCTAGTATAGTCTAGATCCTGAGACACTGAATTTCATAGCTCCTTTGACCAAACTTCAGAATCCAAGAACATGATTGGCCCAGCTTGGGTGAGGTTCAATTAGCAGTGGCTTGAACTTGGTCTTAATGATGGTCATTTCCAGAAGAGTGTGAACCCATCAACATTCAAAATCTATAACTGGTAGGCAAGATGCCTGATTGTCACAGATGTTAGAGATGATAAGTTAGAAATAATATTGAGGCGGATTAGATGGTATTTAATAAATCAAGGGTAAGCTCTCATGTGCCTGCCCTTGACAGTTTGAAGACCCAGCACGTCCCCTTTCAGGCATTGTGTTCTGGGCTGGGCATCTTAATTTCCTTCTATACTACTCACTTTCTCATTTGCCATTTTCTGGAGACTATGTCAGTTGGGTTCTGATCACAGTGAAGAAACTCTTACTTTCCCCTACTTTGATTAAAGCTGGCTAGTATCACCTTGTCAAATCAGAGTGCTATTAGCTAAAGCCCCCAAAGAATTGGCAAGCTAGTTCCCATCTAAATTTTTGTTTTCTCCTTGACTGTTATTTTTAGTTACTTTTCAAACCCAAGATTTTTCATTCTTGATTAATTAATACTGGTGCATATTTTCACTTCTAGTTTTCTCCCATGCAACTCTGACAACTTAGATCTCACCCAAATTGTTGATGTTAACCTGGTGGCATATTGTTTCCAATTTTTTTCAAGTTGCATCAATCCAACACATATTCTTTCATTCTAGTTATCCTAATGAGTGAAGAACTGACCACATTTCCCTTTGAATCCATAAGCGTATCATAGTAGACTTCCTCAAACTCTTGGCTAAAATCCAAATACATTTAAAAACTAAGGTAACTCCCTGAGCTACCAGTCTAGTGCCATTTCCAAGGACAAGGAGTAAGAACTCTCAAGAACATTACTTCTACCTACATACACACACAAACTGATGAGAATCAAGCCAGGACCAGCATGCTCAAGTGCTCTCCAGAGAAGCCTCACTGTTCTTTCTCAAAGGAATGTGTTAACTGCTAGCCAGGCCTTAAGGCTCTGAGGT